TAGATGACCTCCGAGGTCCCCTCCAGCTCTGCTATTCCGTTCTGGTGGAATCTCAGTAGCTGGAGGGTTTTAAGCAGAGGCTGGAAGGCTTCATGCTGGGAATGGGGTTGGGCTAGATGACCTCTAATATCCATTCCAGTCCTTTTACGTTCTGATTTTATGGCAGGGTTTATATACCTCCCCTTTTGGGGTAGATTGAGGCGGGGCCATCGGAAATGAAACAATAGTGTAGCATCAAGCATCAAAAACATAACATGACCCTCTGACTAAGCACAGAAGCTCTTTGTTGCTCGCAGACCATAAGGCCTTAAGAAGCGGCGATGGTCTACTTATATAAACGATAAATGGATTCCGGAGGCTGAAAAGAAGAATTGTAGGAAATGGCCTCTTTGGAGGCTTCCTAGAAACGTTTAATTGCTAGGAAGAAAGTTGCTGGACTCATCCCAAGGCTAATGGATGATGTCCTGGACTTGTGAACCAACTCCCCCCTCGCACTGATGAGGTTGCCTAGTTGGGTCATGAAATGTCCGCAAAGAAATAATCAAGCTCATAAGAGCTCCATGGACTCCTCTTCATCATCATCATCAAACTGATGATGCTACCTAGCTGGGTCATGAAACGTCTACAAGAAAGCGGTCAAGCTGAGACAGCAACTAGGATTGCACAGAAAGAGAAACCCAGATAAGAAAGGATTAAACCCAGACAAATAATGGCGCAAAAAACAATACTCCAATAATCCTGGAACTACCAGGCGACGGGGACGTACTCCCGGCAGGGCAAACCGATCTACTGTATGTAAACAGAGAGCAACCCCTCTGTAACTGATGTTAACTAGCGAGATCACAAAATGTCTGTAAGAAAACAACTCAGAGACCACCAAGACCACCCCAAAATTGTCCTCCTCCACCATCCTGCAAACGCCACTCCCTCTACTACTGAAGATGTTACCTATCTTGATAACGAAACGTTTGCCAGAAATCAACCAAGTGCAGAAAACACTAAGGACCTCCCAATTTCCTCCTCCTCCATTCCTCCCTCCCTCCCTTCTAGCACTGAAGATGTTCCCTAGCTGGGTCATGAAACGTCTGCAAAAAAAACCCACCAAGCTCAGACAGCACCAAGCACCCCACAATCTTCCTCCTCTCCGCACACCTCACTCTCTGCTAGCATGGATGATATTACTTAGTTGGGCTATGAAATGCCTACAAGAAAACCACCCAGCTCAGAGACCACCAAGCACCCCATAGTTCAACCCCGATCTTCAAATATTTTCTTCTGTGGGAAGAATAATTTTCTACGTTTGAAGGATTTAAAACACAATGAAAACCTTGGATAGACCTTCCAAAGGAGCTTTTATTTCAAGAGGCAACTGGACTTTCTGGTTTTTCTCTGAAGACGTTTCACTCCTCATCCAAGAAGCTTCTTCGGCGCGTCAGTTCTTGCACGAAAAGCCAAAATGTCTTCAAAGAAAAACCAGAAAGCCCAGTGGGCCCCTTGAAATAAAAGCTCCTTCGGGTCAACCATGACCTGGAGGACTGAGAATCTCCACAGTCCTTTGATAGGCAAGACTGGAATAATCGGGGAACGGCGCTCACCCTGTCAGATCACCCTTGTTACTCTCAATGCAGCTAATAACCTGACTAACGGAAAGCATTCCTTTCGTGAGTCATTCAATTCTTGGAAAAATATCTTGTGTGCAAAGCTAACATATGCAACGGGAGATGAAGTACCAGAAACTGGGCTGCAATTAAAATCTAATTTCCACAGACTTCTCCGCAAGAATATGTAAAAACCAGGCATAATTATCATCTGTTTTGTTTTTACAGTCAAGCCCCCGTAAAGTAGCCTGCGACACATTCTTAAGAGGTGATGCGATGCATTCTTAAGAGGTGGTGCGATGCACAGTGCACAACGCTACGCCAGAGGGGCTACACCCAATATTTGGGACATTAATCATCTCGACAGTGACGTCATGCCCAGAATGACACAGGGGAAGAAAAGTGTCGGAAACAGAATTTTAATTGGCAAAGGGTGAAAAAGGAAAACCTATCGAATGCAGCTGGTCCTGGACTTACAACCGTTCATTTAGTGACCAAAGTTAAAATGGCACTGAAAAAAAGGGACGGATGACTGTTCGTAGCATCCATCTATGATCATGTGATCAAATTCAGACATATGGCAACTGACTCATATTTACGACGGTTGCAGTGTCCCGCGGGGGTCACACGATCCCCTCTTGCAACCTTCTTGACGAGCGACGTCAATGGGGAAGTCGGATTCCCTTAACAACCGTGTGACTCACTTAACTGCGGGGATTCACTTAACAAAGGGCAAAACTCACTCAACAAATACCTCACAACAGATAGCAACAGATCTTTGGGGCTCAATTGTGGTCATAAGCCAAGGACTACCTGCACATCTATTTCTTTCATAATTTTGTGGGCGTTTTTTTTTTTTTAATGCGTAGCAGCATCCTAGCCACTGTAGGGAGAACGGAATATATTAGTAGGCAATTGTTTGACCTCATTTGTTTAATGACCTTCCCTGCACTAGAAAGGGTGCGGAGAAGAGCAGCTAAGATGATTAGGGGGGGACTGGAGGCTAAAACATACGACGAATGGTGGCTGGAATTGGGTATGTCTAGTTTGGTGAAAAGAAGGACTAATGGGGGGACATGATAGCAGCCTTCCAATATTTGAGGGGCTGCCCCAAAGGAGCAGGGGGGATCAAGCTATTCTCCAAAGCACCAGAAGGCAGGATATGCAGCAATGGATGGAAATTAATCAAGGAGAGAAGAAACCTGAATCTAAGGAGAAACTCCCTGACAGTGAGGACAATTAACCAGTGGAACAAATTGCCTCCAGAAGCTGTGAGTGCTTAAAAACACAGGAGGCTTTTAAGAAGAGACTGGAGAGCCAGCCATCTGTCTGAAATGATATAAGGTCTCCTACCTCAACAAGGGGTTAGGTGAGAAGACCTCCAGGGTCCCTTCTGAATCTGCTATTCTATGCTATTCTATGCTATTCTATGCTATGCTATTCTATTCTATTCTATGTTATGCTATGTTATGCTATGCTATTATATGCTATATTCCATTCTATTCTCTTCCTATTCCTTATTCTATTCTAATTCTATTCTATATTCCATTCTCTTCCTAATCCTTATTCTATTTTCTATAGTCTATTCTATATTCTATTATATATATTCTGCATTCTACTCTGTTCTATTTTATTCTATGTCATATTATATTCTGCATTGTATTCTACTCTCTCTTCTCTTATTCTATTCCTATTCCTTAATCTATTTGATTTCCTATTCTCTTCCGTTTCTATTTTTATTATATTCTCTTCTCTTCTATTTTCCATTCCATTCCATTCTATATTCTATTATTTCTCTATTCCTATTCTGCTTTCTCCATTCCATTCTGTATCTTATTTTTTGGCATGGCCAGATATTTTCTATTTAAGCTCCAAACATCACCTTGTTGGTCAAGAAACTTTAAGAATTGAAGATTAAAAAATTTAAAAGGCAGGTGGTTTAAGAAATGGGGGTTTAGGGTCCTTTAAACTGGTGACGTTTTCAGCCCAAAGCCAAATATCCTCTTATTTTCTATATACAATTATCCTCTATGACATTTATACTACAGGGGGGCCTCGCTGTACAACCGTAATTGAACCACAATTTTCCACTAAGCCAGACAGCTGCTAAGTGAGCCTCATTTCATGACCTTTCTTGCTATGGTTGATAAATGAATTGTGCAGTTGTTAAAGGAATCCGGCTTCCCCATTGACTCTGCTCAACAGAAGTTTGCAAAAGGGGATCATATGATCCTAGGACATGCAACGGTCATAAATGCGAGTCAATTGTTAAGCAACTGAATTTTGGTCACCATGAGGACGCTGCAAGGGACGCAAGTGTGAAAAACGGTCAGAAGTCACTATTTTTCAGTGCCGTTGTAACTTCGGTCCCTAAACAGATGGCTGTAAGTCAAGGACTCTACCTGTAGTCTTCTATTCCTCAACCTTAACACACAAAACCTAGCAAGAAAGGGCTGATTTATTTGGTCAATTTATACCACTGCTTGTTTCTTCTACGTGAGTCTGAGAGGCGTCACCTGCTGAGAAAACACAACTGCAACACAAACAACCTGACCCAAAACATAATCACTAAAGCCACATAAAGCCAGACAACCCCCCCCCCAAAAAAAAGGGGGAGGCACCTAATCTGTAATAGAAGGCGCTCAATTTGGGAGAACCTCAGCAGCAACGGTGCTAAAATGAGGGGATACTCCTGCAAGGAATCAGGAAATCTGCTGGGGCCAGGACCCCTCTAGCCACCCTCCATTCCCTCTCCGCAAACCCCACTCCCTTCTAGCACGGATGATGTCACCTAGATGGGTCTTGAAACGTCTCAGAAAACAACCAAGCTCAGAGAGCACCAAAGATCCCACCAATGTCCTTCTTGCCAACCCCCACACCTCGTTCCCTTCTAGCCCTGATGATGTTGCCTAATTGGGTCATGAAACGTCTGGAAGAAAACCACCCAGCCCAGAGAGCCGCAAGGACCTCCACAGTCATTCTCCTGCCCCCACTCTTCCTCGCCTTCTCTTTCTTCTCCTCCCCTCCTTTCCCTCACCCTCCTCCTCCTTTCTCCCCCTCCCCCCATTCCTCCTCCTCCCCCTCCTCAATCCCCCACCCACCCATTTAGCACTGACGATGTTCCCTAATTGGGTCGTGAAAGCTCAGGGAGCATCAACGACCCTCAAGGGAGGCTCTACTCCCAGATATTGTAAATTGATCAGGTTCTTGAGCGGGGACGGTGGGGGAGCCCTAGGGGGTCCCAAAGGTCACCCAAACGTTCCCCCCGCCCCAGTTCTCCTCCCTTGCCCTCTCTCCCCTAATGCCCTCCCTATTCACCCCCTCCTTTTTTTCTCCTCTCCCTCCCCTCCCCTGGGTCCCCTTCCCTCCCTCCTGTCAATCACGGCCCCTCCACGGGCCCACCTTGAGGGTCACGTCGCACAGCTTCCCCTGCCGCCTGATCTCGCCCATCACCCCGTAGCCGCGGCTGGGCAGGTCGCCCACCGAGAAGTGCACCAGGTCCTCCGGGTCCAACTCCGGGTCCGGCCCCGCCGCCTCCAGCATCTCGTCGGCTTCCGCGCCAAAGCCGGCTCTGCCGGGACCAGCCGTCTTCCTCGCACGCTCGCCCGACGCGGTTTGGTTCCGCCCGGCCACCGTCGCTTCGCCGCCGTGAGATCGCCAGACCGGAAGCCAGTCAGGCCCCGCCCCCTCGTTCCGCCCGCGCTGAGCGGAAGCGCCCGTCGCCTCGGCAACAGAGCCTCCGGAAAAAGCTCGCACATGCGCCGTTGCCCCTCATTCCCTTCTGGAACCGGAGCTGGGGCGGTTTTATTTTTTCCCCGCTGAGAGGATGGCGGCGGGCCTCCTTTCGCCTCCGCCTCCGCCTGCGACCGGGCCCCGCTAGATCGCGACGGCGGATGGCGTTTCTCGACGGAAAGGCCCCGAGCCAGGGTAGGGGGCAGAGGCCAGGTGGATCCTCCGCGCCGCCCCTCCCCCGGGTCCCCCAAATGAGTCTGGGGGCGCTTGTGGGGGAGAGGAAGGGAGGCCCCGCTCGGCTTCGTCTCTTCCTTGGCCTCGGAGTGGGGAACTTCGGTTATTCTGCCTGGTCTTTCCGCCCCTTCCCTTCCCTCGGGGACCCTCTGCTGACCCTGAGGCATTTTTGGGGGGAGGGGGGGCGTTTTCTCTCTGGCAGCTCTTGTCCTCTTATCTTTGGATTTGGGGAGGGGGGCTTTTAATTGTAAGCAGCCCAGAGCCTGCCTCTACCTAACTATCTCTCTATATCTCTGTATAATCTTTCTGTATCTTATCTACAGTATATCAATGGTATCTATTATCTATAATCTATATCTATCACCTGTCCGTCTGTCTGTCTCTCTCCATCCATCCTTTTATCCCTCTATCATACATGTCTGTTACCCTATTTCTCTATCTTCTGTATCCATCCATCCATTATCCGTGTCTATTATCCTACCTAGCCAGCCATTGTATATATGTCTATTTTCCTATCTGTATGTCTATCCCATTTATCTGTTCATACTTGTTATGTATCTATTATATCTGTCCATCCATCATTCATTCTTGCCTATTGTCTCCATTGATCCATCCACCATATATGTCTTCTATCCATCCATCCATCATACATTCCTATCACTTCATCCATCAGCTGTAGAAGTCTGTCTATTCTAATACCTATCCATCCATATCTCATCTACCCTATTTATCCATCCATTCTACATGCCTTATATCCATCCATCCATGTCTATTCTATGTATATAATCTATCTATTCATCCATCTTCCATGCCTATTATCTCATCCATCCATCCATCCAACCACTGTATGTGTATTTTTTCTCTCTCAATCAGTCTATCTCTACCATCTATCTATCCTGAGCCTACTTATCAATCATTCATTTATCTATATTTTTAATATTTTCTATTAGTTTTCTATATTCTGTTTTATTGATCTATCATGTATCCATATTTATTTATATCCCATCTATCATTCCGCATATTGCATCTACCTTTCACAGTATCTATCTGTTATCTTTCAAATTTGTCTTTCTCATCTATTGTTACCCATAAACGAGACAGGTGACACATTAATCAAATAAATGTATTAATTAATTTTCTGTCTTATTGATTGATCTATCATTAATATCTGTCCCTTACATTGCATCTATTTTTTGCATCTCTATTCATTATTTATATTCTGTGTTACTGATTTATCAACTAACATGGCATGTTTTGCATCTATCTCAGTTACATTCTGTCTTATTGATATCTGTTTATTGCGTCTATCACATTTACCTTTTGCATCTGTCATTATCTTTTACCTATCTCTCTTAATCATCTATATTCATCTTATTGATCTATCATCTTTCACATCTATTATCAGTTTTCTAACCATTCCGGTTAATTATATTCTTGATCTATCATTTATCACATCTTTCTGATTGCATCATTCATATCTTTAACAGATTTTTAACAGATAATCAGAATTGGAAGGGACCTTGTAGGTCATCTAGTCCACCCCCCCCGCCAAAGTGGAAGACCCTACACCATTTTTGACAAATGGCAGTCCAATCTCTTCTTGAAAGTCTCAAGTGATGGCGCTCCCACAACTTCTGAGGCCAAGCTGTTCCATTGGTTGATTGTTCTCACTGTCAGAAAGTTTCTCCTTATATCTATATGTCATTAGCATCTATCTTATTATCCATCTATATCTATCACATTTAGAAACTGCCCAACTCCCTCACAGGAAAACTCTGGGCAGTAATGTTAAATACATAAAAGTTGAATATAAAAGGTAAAAGAGGCGAGGCTCAATAAAATTCAAAATTGCAAGGCAGAGGGAGGACTTACAGGGTACCCATTGAGAATTGAGTAGCCTATATTACTGAATAAATAAAAATATTAATTTCCCACCTAATTAGTACAGATAATCCTTGACTTCCGTCCACAAACTTTCTGTTGTTAATTGCTGCAGGAATTCACTAAACACCTGCAGCAAGTAAGGTAACTCACTTAACAACCATCTTGTTTAGCTATGGAAATTTTGGGCTCAATTGCAATATACATTGAGGATTACTATGTGCATTTTTCAAATCAATACAATTGTAAGCTGCCTACAATTATTTTGATATAAGATGGGTGGCATATAAAATTTATAAATAAAAGAAATAAACCCTCTGAAATTGTACAGTTAGAGGAATTCAGGCTTTACAGTAGTCTTTGACCCCCAGCCACAATTGAGCCCAAAATTTTTGTTGCTAAGTGAATCCCTACCGTTGTTAAGTCAGTCACATGGTTATTTGGTGAATCTGGCTTTCCCATTGGCTTTCAGGAGATCACAAAAGGGGATCACATGACCCCGGGACACTGCAACTGTCATTTAATCTGTCTATCATCTATCCAACCTACCCATTATCTGATCTTTCTGTTTGTCTGTCATTTGTCTGTCTGTCCATCCATCCATCTATCCATTTTGTGGCCACCATATATATGAACCAATTGCCGGGTATCTGGATTTTGATCACCTGACCGCAGGAATGCTGCAACAGTCGTAAGGGTGAAAAACGGTCATAAGTCGCTTCTTTCAGTGCCATTGTCACTTTGAGTGGTGGCTAAACTGTTGTAAGATGAGGACTGCCTGTGTTTCTCTTCCCCAGACCTCATGGCCATGTGCATCAGTTCGAAGAAAGTGAAGGCCTTCGCGAGGGTCAAGCCCACGGCCGACTTCCCTCAAGAGGTCATCAAATTCGGGGCCGACAACAAGGTAAAAAAAAGGGGGGATGAAGCCAAGAAGTTTCTCCTCTCAGCCCCTCCGTCCCTTGGTGAAGTTGACGCACCTTAGAAGTGGGACTCACCCGGCTTCCCCTTCCAGACGATCGAGGTTCACATCGAGCGGGACCTTTCCAAAGGCATCGTTAACAACAAGCTGACGGACTGGTCCTTTAAGATGGACGGCGTTCTCCACAACGCGTCGCAAGACGTGGTTTACGATGCGGTCGCCAAAGATCTCGTCTCCCAGGCCCTGAACGGCTACAATGGTAAAGCATTCGTGATCATCGCGGTGAACAGAATCGCAGAGCGGGAAGGGTCCTTGGAGGTCTTCTAGTCCAACCTCCTGCTCGAGCGGGAGACCCTGTTCCTGTACCCTTTCACACAAGGAGCTGCCCAGTCTCTACTGGGAAACCTCCAGGGACGGAGCCCCCACCATTCCTAAAAGGAAGCCTTTCCACCGATTAATTGCCCTCTCCGTCAGGAAATTCCTTCTTGGTTCTAGATTGCTTCTCTCCTTCATTAGTTTCCATCCGGTACTTCTTTTTTCTGCCTCCCGGTGCTTTGGGCAATAAGTTGACCCTCTCTTTTTTGTAAGAGATAGGCAGTATCTTTAAATATCGGGAAAGCGCTATCCTGTCACCCCCTAATCCTTCTTTTCCCCAAACTAGACACATCCAGTTCTTGCAAGTGTTCCTCACCTTAGGATTGCCTTGAGTTTTTGGCAGCTATTCCGTGTATCGGCATTAGCACAGACCCATTGCAACCAAGAAGTAAGGAGGAAATTTCCGGTCAGTGGAAACCATCGGTGGAACGGCTCCCCTTGGAGGTGGTAGGTGCTCCTTTACTGGAGGCTTTCGTGAAGACTTCACTGGACGACGGTTTCGTTTGAAAAGGGATGATGGAAGGGCTCTCCTGTTTCAGCAGGGGTTTGGGCTAGAGGACCTCCAAGGACCTCCTTGCCAGCTCTCTTGTTCAGAAGGGAGCTTGCCACCTCTAGGAAAGAGCCTGAATCATTCTCTCTTGATCCCGAACCATCCCCTAGGGACCATCATGTGCTATGGACAAACCGGAGCCGGCAAGACCTTCACCATGATGGGAACCACCGGAAACTTCAAGCACAGGGGGATCATCCCTCGAGCTATTCAGCAGGTGGTGGATAATTATTATTTGTTTATTTATATATTTATGAATGAATGAAAGAAAGAAAGAAAGAAAATTTGCATGGCTTTTCGATTCTGATTCCTGGCAACTTGTAACCGTGAATAGAAGTTAAATTTAAAAAATCAATAAGCTCTCTCTCTCTCTCTCTCTCTCACACACACACACACCACCCTCACCTGGTGACAACAGTCAAACACACCATTTGACAGGCTCCCTATTACCCTGGGTTCCCACTTAGGCACAACAGCAACCTGGGAGACTTTGGGCCAATCACTAGGAGACGGGAAGTTCTAGTCCCGCCTTAGACACGAAAGATGGCTTGGATGACTTGGGGCCAATCACCAGGAGATGGGGAGTTATACTCCTGCCTTAATAATGAAAACCAGTTGGATGACTTAGGGTCAATCACCAGGTAATGGTGAGTTCTAGTCCCGCCTTAGGCATAAAAGCTGGCTGTCAAGACTCCAACATGCGCCCCCATTCAAATCGTAAGTCTCTAGCCGCATCCCTCAAGAGTAAAAAAGATGGAATTATTAGGAGTTGACATGTCGGCGTTTCCCAGTTGCAGCCACTCTGACACAACATTCATTTCCCTCTTGACCCTGGTCTTCTCCCTACCCCCTGGATGTATATTCTCCAATGAGACACATCCGTAGCCAAGAGTCATCAATCATGCTCTCCAGGAATACTTTTGAGCGC